CATACAGAGACAGATTATTTTGGATCCCAAATGTTGTCATTCACCTGTAACAGTGCAATCCTAATTCAAATGCAAGACCATTCATTCCTAGCCTGCTGTTTCATTTCTGAAAAGGACTGGGGATATAGACAATGCTAAAGAGAGACTTGCATCTTAGATAACCACCAGAATATAAAAATTGCATACAGATGAAATTAGGCTAGGTTTAAACGTCGCAAGATTAGCAGGATATATAGTGGTTTTCTGCCTTGCTATTGCTTTCCATACAGGAATGAATTGTATCACACACCCAGTTCTGTTACACTTGTTTTCCAACAACATTACAAAAAAATAAATAAATCTTTTTAACGAGCACACTTTTTTTGCCATATATTTTTGCATAAGGAGGAATAAATGTTGTTGTTCATCTGCTGTCCTTTTCTTTTCATATGTAATACCAGGATTCCAGTTTGGTTGAACTGACAGAAATACTGACTAAAATGTCTACATTTTGCTTATCTCCAAATTTCTGTTGCTTTCATGAGATTATCCAAACTCCCTCTGGTGGCTAATTTAAAACTCCAAAATTAACACACACAAAAAACTGTGTAGAGCTTGCTGGATAAGAGCATCATTACTTTTATACAGAAGGTTGTGGGTTGTTCAAATCCTGTTGGGATCATTACATATTCTATTAATAACATTTTTGCTCAGATTGTTATGAATGAATGACTAACTTCTCATTTTCTAAAAAAAATAAGCAATATCAAAATATCATCACATGTATAAAGAACCGCCACATTTGAAAGCGGTCAACAATTTTATTCAGTTTCTGCAGTGCTTTCCATCCAAGAATCTCAGCACATTTACTTTAAAAGGCCCTGCAAGACTAGCATTATCTCTGCTGTGCAGATGCGAAAAGGGAAGCACAGAGAGGTAAAGTCACTTACTCAAGGTGACACAGGACGTCTGTGACTATCACAAATAAAACCCTGGCCTCCTGATTTCCAGTCTGTACTTCAACCCACAAAGCCATATTGCATTCAAAAATATGGAGCCAAAATCTACTACTACTCTGGTTTGACACCAGCATAACTAACACCTTTGCAAGAGAGCACAGAATCAGGCCTGTATATATCTATAAACACAAAAACAAATCAAATCAAAGGACCAGTCTGTCCTAGTCCCATTGAAGTAAATCTTCTTCCGTATGGCATTTGAAAAGCAAGGGACTGGCATTATAATTGCATTTTGAGAATCGAAAGTCATTCTAATGCTTCTGGGGTAGCTAAATGGATCCCCCTGGTGTCACCACTGTAAGCATGAATTGGACAGCTATTCATGATGTATCACATGGTTTGTACCTCACCAGTCACAATTTCTTGATTCTTTGATCTTTCCATTTGTGGAAGAGATAGCCACACCTTCGTGCATTATCTGAACATCGTTGAGTGTAGTCCACTGAGTATGGGAAAGGCAGAATCCCGGGACCTCTTTGTTGGATCTTGAATCAGGTCTTTGTTTGGGATGTCACAAGTGGCCCATGATTTGAACCAGCAAGTGCTCGTGTCCTTTCCATTGCCCTGTAGTGTTGACACATGTGTTCAGAAAGGCTTCTTGGATTTGAGTCCAGAGAGTGGCAGTGGATTAAGGTGTTGCTGTATTGGCAGGTCCAGTGCAATCAGGATCTTGCTGTACACCAAGACCATAGCAGCATCTCGTCTGATATTGACTGGTGCAATGCCTGCCAAAACTAGAAGCCATGGTACAAACACGGATTTGAGACAGTCCTTGACAATCCTGAGCACAGCACTAATGTCAGTGTCAACAAGAGTGTCTCGTTGACACTGAAATTAATTGAAGTAAATTAAGTCAAAAGAAGTTTGCCAATGGACTCCATTGAGGCCCTAAGCTGGAACAAAAATAAAGTTAAACTTTTCAGATGCAAAAGATAAATAGCACAAATTAGATCTACTCTTCAGTTGTTCATAAACCCCAATTACTGTCAGAACATTATAAAAGAAACAAGTATTTATGGTAATTATGCAATTTTCCTTACTTACTTGATATAACATATAGGCCAAATAACATACAATGTATGTTGCCATATGACACTGTAGGCAATATAGAAATAAGCCCACATACAAAGTATGAGGGCCTAGAGTTAAAAAAAAAATACATTCCCAACCTTAATATTTTTGGGTATTAACGGTGCATCAAAAGCTTTCCATCCAGGGCATACAGTATACATTCTGATTGTTTTGTACATTATCACTGCAGTAAATTTAACTGGAACACATTGACTAAGACTTAGTTTAACTTTTTTTCTTTAAAAAAAACTGAATTGCATCACAGCAAGTATGTTGGTAACAAGTTACAGAATTCTCAAAAAAACGGGCTCATTCAATGGCTGAGAAAACACTCAGCCTCAAACTGAGTTCTTCTACACAACAACAGCTGAAAGTGCAACACACATAAGGAAGAATGATCTCCCAAAAACCAGAGTAGCCACATTGGATGGGATCCGATCTTTGGAGCCCTTCAATCTTCCTTAGATGAAGGATGGTGTCAATAAAAGCTTTATGTCTGGGGAGAAGGTGGGGCAACTGAAGAATGACGTGTGTGGAGTGCAGTGTTGTAACTGTGTGGGTCCCAGAATATTAGAGAAACAAAGTGTTATTTAGGACTCATTTGACATGTAGCAGACACTCCCCCCATCAAGATTAAAATGAAGTATTTCTCACATTTTAAGCTCATCCAGTACACCCTGGAAAAGAAGCCATCAGGAGAATTAACTGTATATACAGTCCATACAGATGTGTATCAAGAACTACACACACCAAAACAAACAAAATAGCAATTCGTATTGCTCAAGGCAGCACTAATGGAATCTAAATCCTGATTCTTTGGCTTCTAAAACAAATGCTGTCTAGCTGAACCAAAGAACTTCTACTAGCTTATTAGTGTATTTTCATAGCTATACCTTCAGTATGTATCCAATGGAGCAAAACAGAGCAGAGAACCACAGAGGTTATGAGGTTAGATACCTTAACACATTCTTTAAGTGTGTTAATCCAGAATCTATTTTTTCTCTACTTTTGATCACTCTTTGCCTCTAGATTTGACAAGGGAGATATTCATAGAGGAGGACCCTCAAAAAAAACAAACCCACCCTGGAAGTTGGAGAAGGGAATAGCAGAGAACAACTTCTTCCCCATTCCACTGCATGAGCCAGAAGGGACAGCACTCCTCCCTTCTTAGGTGGGCCAATAAGAAAGATGATGTTCCCAAAACACGTTTCTTAAAATATTTGCCTGAGATTTGCACTACCATAAAATGGTTGTGGGGTGCTCCAACGTGAACAGTCTAAGATTATGTCTACGCTTAAACAAATGCAGCAGCGCATCTGCAGCTGTATCTCTTCAGCATAGCCACTCACTACAGCAACGGGTCTCCCATCGCTGTAGTTAATCCACCTCCCTGACAAGCTGTAGCGAGGTCAACAGAAGAATTTTTCTAGTGCTGTCTAGACCTCCAGTTAGATTGACTTAACTATGTGGCTCGTGAGCAATGTAACTGGGTCAACTTAACTTTTTAGAGTAGACCTGACCTAAGGATATGTTCTTTTGTGGTTTGGGTAGCTACTACTTTCTAATAAACTTGCTTTCCAGCTCCACACAGTCGTATTCCTAATCAATATTTTGAGTAAGTTAGAGAACTACACTTAATGGTATGTAAATACCAAGAATAAGGATCTGTGGAGATAATGTATCTCATTCTGTACAAATTTTGGAATTATTAAAAACCTATTCATAAAATATCCAGGTGCCACTCCACCCCCACATCACAGCTCATTTCCTCCCACAGCTATCTGCTTTAATGCTTTTTATGGCATGGCACATGACTCCAGAAGTAAGAATCTATGGAGGCAATTTCATGAGTAGCAACATTCCACACTCAGCTTTGAAAATGGTTCTCTAACAAATGAGAGCACCCATGTAGATAGTCATCTACTGTAAATGGAGGAGAATCAGAAAACTGGCCAAATACACAGACCAGGATACTGAGCCTGAATGAAGTGGTGGGACAGATATTTATCCTCACACTCATCAAATACTTAACATTGATATAGCACTTTTCAGGGTCAAAGCCTTATGCAGACATTAATCCTAATAACCAACTCTAGGAGGTAGTATTATTCCCATTTTACAGATGGGAAAAAGGAGAGAGATAGGCAGCGCAACCTGCCCAACGCCATAGGAGTCCACTGCAGAGCTCCAGTTAGCATTCCATCACAAGCCTCACTGCTTTCTGCTAAGCACAAAGCCCATTCTCTGACCTTGCCTTCTCTAATACACACATAGCAACAGGTATACTTACATTAAAAAAAAAAACTAACAAAACCAGTCAGTCCACTGCCAGCGCTTCTCTCTCTGGGGAAGAGAATGAGAGAACTAACCACACAGGTCAGATATGTAGCTACATTGCTTAATATGCTACTGGAAGGCACTCAGATACTACAGTGATGAGCCCAGGATAAAACCCGTCATTCCTCCACAGCACACAGAGGAAAGAAAGACTCTCACTTTCAGGCTACACAATAAGCATGTCATCCCTAGGTGAGGGGTTGCCCACTTTTGAGGGCCAGTGCCGGTATCCAGATGGCCCCAAGCGGAACAGTGCTGGCCCCTCCCATGTAACCTCAACTCCTGTCACTCTAGCCGGGAGTGGCATTTCCCTGGAGGGAGACCTGTGCGGTGGGGGCAGATCCAAAGCACCCTCATTCCCCGCGCTTCCTCAGCTCCTCTGTGAACTCGCCAGCGACTGTCAGCGCTCAGGTCAGACTTGCCGAGTTATTGAAACAAAGTCACGCGTCACTGAAAGGGACAAGCCGCGGCGCAGGAGAGGGTGGGGGAACCGGGGCAGAGAAGTAGAGGGAAGGAAAGGAGCCAGCCAAGGAGGGAAGGGGAAGCGGCGGGGATCGAGGGGGAAGAATTGCGGGCTGGCAGCGCAGGACTCACCGATGCCCAGCCCCACCACGATGCGCCCCCCTAGCAGGGTCTCCTTGTCCTGGGCAGCGGCCAGCAGGGCGGCGCCCGCGATGAAGAAGCAGCTGGACAGGAGGATGCAGGGTCTGCGGCCCCACAGCCCGTTGAGCACCCCGCCGGCCAGCGCCGAGAGCGCGGCGGCGCCCACCGTGCTGGAGACCAGCAGCTCCTGCCAGAGGGCGCCCAGGTTGAGCTCCCTCTTGAGGAGCAGCAGGGCCCCGGACACCACGCCGGTGTCATAGCCGAAGAGGAAGCCCCCCAAGGCGGAGAACACCGACACCACGTAGACGAAGCCCGGGGTCTCGTCCTGCTGGAACTGCCGCCGGGCCGCCCGCTCCAGCTCCCCGCCGGACGCCTGGCTGTTGATGCTGGAGCAGGACTCGGCGGCGATCAGGCTGCGCTCCCCGGCCGCCGCCGCGCTGGAGCCGGCCGAGCCGTCCGGCTGCCTCCGGCGCTTCTCGCCCATCAGGTTGCTCAGGCTCCGCAGCGTGTACTCCACATTCTCACTGGCCTTGCGGGACATGGGGCAACCACCGCCGCTCAGCGCCCCCCGCCCGGCCAGGGGGCGGGCTCGGGACCGCTGCTGCTGCCCTGCCGGGGGCCGCGATCAGCCGGGGCGCATAGGTCCTGCCCGCGCCCGCTCTTGGGGGAAAGTTACCAGCCACGGCCGCTGCTACTGGAGCTCAGGCGGAGTTTGAGCCGGAGGGAGGCTCGGGCGGGCGGGGAGGGGACTCGAGCCCAGCTGGCCGGGCGGGGCGGAGCCGGCACGGGGGGCGGGGCCGCTTGGCTCTTACTGAGCATGCGCGGGAACTCGGCGCATGCGCGTCAGCCACAGCGAAGTCCCTCGGCCCTGACCTGATGCCCGAACCTGAGTGAGAAGGGAAAGGGGCGGGAAATGTAAACAGGGGGCGGGGAACGGCCGGGGCCCACGCTAATGATAAAGGTCCCTCACGTGAGCCGGGCTTGGGGAGCCGCCTAGTCACGTGCCTGGGGTCGCCCCGGAGCAGGCTGGGGGCCGGCAGCCGCTGTTTACTGGCTACAAGGGACGGGGGTGCGGGCAGTGCTGCTCTCTCCGAGGGGAAGGGGGAGAACAAAGCCCACCGCAGTGCGTGCATGTAAGAGCCTGTGCTTAGGCTGACCCTGCGCCTAGCAAGTCCTCTGTCCCCGGACACCCTGCAGCCAGCGCTGGGCTGCGCCTGGTGCACGGACCGCTCCTGACCCTGGGACCTAGCCAGGCTGGCGAGGGGAGTGGGAGGTAACAAGACACCTGCAGCTAACAGTACCAAGAGACGGCAGGAGTCACCGAGAAAACCTGAGTCAATCCTAGTTTATGAGGCTGATAGTGGGCGGCAGTGGAAAAACCCCGGACGGGGTCACTGCCGCCTTAGTCTATTTCAGTTTCTCAGCTGCAAGCAAAAAATATGTATATAGTGCAATGCAAACAACAGATACTACTCATATAGCGGTATATACAAGGACTCGGAGGGCTAGGTATTGAATATCTATCTGCCTCTTTCTCCCTACCAGTATCCCTTCTTCCTCTACACAGTATCCTGCTGAGGCTAGAGCTTACAGCAGGGACTAAGGCTCAGCACTGCAACACCCAATTTTAGGCATCCTGCTGCCCTGGGAATCCTAGCCCAGAGTTCAGCACTCGGGCTCCCTATACAAAAAATGAGGAGAGTTAGGTACCTAAGAATGGGACTGACAGAAGCCAGATACTGAGTGGAGAGCGGCCTAAGCTAGTCACTAGGAAATTGCACTGAGAGCCCTACCCTTTTCAAAGGCAGTTAGGCACCTATCTCTGCTTGGGATTCAGGCAGGGCTGGCCCACATTTTGGCACCTGAGGTGGGGAGCTCAAGTGACACCCCCATGTCCCCTTGCTAGGGCCAAAACTTTGAAAGGTCTCAATTCTGCCTTCTTCCTGTTCTACTCCTCTCATGGTATTGCTCTGCTACCTACCCCTATAAAGGAAAATTAACAACTTTAAATGCCTTGTTCAAAAATTCTAAGTAACACAACTTTCAGATGCTTGAACAGCAAATGTAACTTTTCTTGTCTGCATAGTAAACACTGTCATTTTTATCTGTTTGAATAATCGAAGTGGTGCTTTCTGTGCCTTCTTGGTTGCAAATATTTGAACTGCTTCCTGAAGGTCCACAGTCTGAGACAGCTCATGCTCTACTGGGATGGTTGCAAGGCCGACCAGCCTCTCCTGTGTCATTGTGGAGCGTAGATGTGTTTTTATTAACTTCAGCTTGGAGAAGCTGCGTTCTCCACTGGGTTACAGGAAGTGTTAGAAGTATGCGCAGAGCAACAAAATCATTTAGAAAGAGGGTGGTCATCTTATTTGTGCACATATATTCCAGAACAGCCTTTGGAGTTGATCCTGCTGAAATGTATCTTGAAAGGGCTTTCATTTCATCACCTAAATCACTTGCATCAATATCATGCATGTCATCATGTGTCAACACTGTCGCTAGTGCCCTGCTTTGCTGGTGTAGGTCTTCTTCAGGTAGAGTGAGGAGTTTGGGAATATCGTACAACATCCCAAATATACTGCTGTGTTCCTTGAAGTGCATGAAATGTTCTTCAACTGACTGTATTGCACAATCTAGCACCTGGTTAAAGAATTCAACTTTGAATTGTTGTTTGGGGTCTCTTATGGATTATCCTGTGCCCTGTAATCAAAATGTCTTCTTCTTCGTTGACTCTTATATTCTTGAATGGGTGGGAAAATAGCTTCAGTGTGAAGTTCCTCTGCCAACTGCTGTGCACTCTTCAGAACGTTTTGAAATCCCTCATCTGACCTGTAAGACTGTAGGTATGACTTTGCTTTGTCCAGTTGTTCCATTGCTCCAGATATATCAAGGTCAACACACCTTGGAGTCTCTTGCATACATTTATTTCAAACAGTATGTCATGCCACAACACTAAGCCGCACAGAAATTTGAAGTTATGTTTGTTTCTGGTGATTCCATTTCCCTCTGCCACTATTCTCCCACAAACACTTCCTGTCATAGCATTATCCTCCATAGTGGCAACTATAGCATCATCTATTTTCCCAATTTGGTGTTTGGTAGGCTTTATTACCTCCACTCGACTTTCCCATCGTGTGGCACTCAGTGGTTTCAGTGTCAGAGGATGTTGCTTCAAAATTTGCCATCGATGAGTTGATGGAGAGAAAAATACATAGATGCTTTGAATTACATTAAAAAATTCAGCAGCCTCACTAGAAACTGATGCTGCATCACTGACCACCAAGTTCAACGAATGAGAACTGCCTGGGACAAAAAAAGCTTGAGGGTTTAACTCTCAGATCCGTGTCTGCACTCCTCAGTTCTTTCCTCTCATGTTGGCACCATTATCGTAGCCCTGACCTCTCATGTCAGCTATCGCAATTCCCATATCTTCCATCTTTTTAAGAAGCACATTTGTCATGCCAGCTCCTATAGTATCATCAATGTCAATAAATTCTAGAAAATGCTCTCTGACAGTCACCATTGCAGGGACATTGTCACTAGGTTCTGTTGTTGTTACAAAATGAACCATTAAAGTCATTTGTTCCATATGGTTGATGTGAGGTGTGCCGTCCAGAATAACAGAGTAATATCTTGCTGACTTCAGATCGGCCACAATCTTCTATTTGACTTTTGTTGTCAGTAACTCTAAGATCTCATTTTGAATTGTTTTTCCAAGGTAGTGGTGTGTGTACATTTCTTGGGTAGAGACTCTTCTTAGATGCTCCTGGAGTACAGCATCAAACTCAGCCACCAGCTCCACAATTTTAAGGGAGTGTTCATTGTTTGGCACATACAGCTGATCTGAAGTGCCACGCAGTGCTAGGTTTTGGGTAGCAAGCATTCTTACAATGGCAATGAGCCTTTTCAGAACATTTTGCCAGTAAAGAGACTCTGATGCAATCTTCTCTTGATACTGATCATCTATGCTGGCCTTTAGCCTTAGTCTCATCTCAAGCTCTTTCCACCTATGGAATGCTCTCTGGTGTTTGCTGCCTTCTTATTGCATGCCAGATTTCTTGTCAGATTTTTCCAGTACTTTGTTCCTGTAGAACCCGATGTGGCTGGAACATTAGACTGGAAGAGTTTGCAATAAAAACAGTATGCAGCATTCTGGGATTTTGAGTACATAAGCCATGGCCTCTCCACTTTGTCACCAGTAATGTGTTGGATGGGGATTTCACACCAGCAATGTGTTGGATGGAAACTTCTATTTTCATTGCCTTTGGAGAACATGAAGTTTTTCACTTGCTGTGGCCGATGCAGTACAAGGAAGCCCCTCAGGCTACTGCTGAAGTCCACAGTCCTGGATCATCTAAACTTAAGGAACTAAACTCAGCAGCAACTGTTTCTTGCGCTTCCACCACACTCTTGTCTGATCTACACTTTTCTTCAGGAATGTGCATGGTTACATCCATTTGAGATGGAGATATGGATGCTGCAGTAGCTGCCAGGTCATCTGCACTCTGACTAACTGGAAGATCAGGCATCTCCTCACCACTCACATCGTCACTGGGGCCAGAAGGCTCACCGTGAACATTTGTGTCTGTGTATCTCAGGAGAGCTCCTTCCTGCTTAGATAGAAAAGCTTCCTTTGCTTGCTTGCTTTCTGAATGCTGCCCGAGAGGGGCGTTTTCTTCTTTCACTCATGACTGCTGTTCTGTGCCAGCTATAGTGGCTCTCAACACTCAGTTGAAGGGACAAATAAGCAGGATGGTAGCAGGGCCTGAGTGAGGAAAGATATCCGCATCTTAAGGGCCTAAGTGGCTCCTACTACTTCAGTTGACTGCTTGTTCTCCTCAAGTGGGTTCAGGGAAGCAGCAGGAAACAGGAAGCTACCTGAGAAGCTGCTGTTAATCGGTGCAGGCTCCTGGGGGTTCTAGAGAGGTACATAAGAGGCTCCTCCTCCTCTCTCTCCCTGCAGCTCCTGCTGCTTTCTGTTATTCCCTCTCACCTTTTATCCTGCCTGCCTGTTATGTCTCTTGTCCCCTCCTTCCTCGAGTACAGCATTCCACCATCTCTGTACATCTAGAGCAGAGAGAATGTATATGCACCAGCAGCAGACACAATTTTCTACACTCTGGGTCCTAGTGGCGCCGCCCCACAGTCTGGCACCTGAGGTGACTGCCTCAGTTCGCCTCATGGTAAGGCCAGCCCTGGATTCAGGGCATCATTCGCTTTGGGGCTAGATTTTCATAGCTCCTTGCCACCACTGCTGTGTCTCCTCAGCTTTCAGGGGCTGCTGTGGGACAAGTGGGGGGCAGGGCTCCTAATCACAATATTGTGGGCATCCCCACCCCCTCTTCCCACCAGTAGGACAGGAAGCCGCAGCTGTAGTCTGGGTTGAGCAAGCCGGCCCCCAATCCCTGCCCTAGGCTGGCTGTAGGTGAGAAATCTCCCACCACCCCCTTAACTTTTGGGGATAGGACTGACCCATCACCTCCTCAACCTGTCCAGGATGAGACTGGCCCATTAACCCGCCATGAGCAGCCATGGACTCAGCAAGGAGGCAGAAGCAGGGATTCTGATGTAACTTCCCGGGATTCATGTGGAGGTGGTGGTGAGTGTCCCTCTTATGCCTAATAGCCCAGTGATTACCACACTCACCCAGGACATGCAAGAGTTAGGTTTAAATCTGCCCTCTACCTAAATCAGAGCAGGCAAGTGAAGCTAGGTTTGCTCCCTGCTGAGTGCCCTAGTCACTGAGAGGGAAAGTATTCTAGGGTG